TTGGATCTCAGAAATCTGGAGTTTTTGAGCTTTCTGTGCTTCCAGGAACAGACTCCCTGGAAAACACTGCTCTGGACCTGAAATCTTAGAGAAGGCTTGCAAATATGAATAATGAGTTAGAAATCACAAATGTGTAGTAGGTTAGATGTGTGTGTTTTCACTAGGTGATGGGTTTTAAATTTGAGGGTTTTATAGTATAATGGTAGATATGGGAAAAGATGGAGATTTTTGGGTGGTGTCCTTCTCTTTGTTAATCTTCTTCTCCCTTCTTCTTCACAGAACTTAGGTAACAACCTTTGGTTAGTCAGTCAAATATCACTCTAGAAGTTGTGGGAATCTATTATTGGGTCAAAAAGCTAAATAATATAGGTGTTAAACTTCTATTGGTTTATTTAGCTTTAAAAAGCCTTAAAGCAGGCTCAGCTGTAACCATTTTTTCCACTTCTACCAAGGAGCTAGAAGTGCTGTCGTACTTTCTGTAATTTCTGATAAGACACAATAAACATCCAAGCCCGAACAGAATTGCCTCAATCGTGTTTCTCTTAATCCTAGCTCTGAGGGAAGATGGACAAGACTGATGACAAGCCACTAATAAGTGGTGCAAAACCCAGCATACACCCCCACACAGGGTTTTCACAACATCTGTGTACAACTCTGTGGCATATGTTGCCTAAGTCCAGGATGACAGACAATTTCATTGTATATCCAGTCTTGCATATATTGGTGAGAAGGAACATATTTGAAGTTGCATGCAAGAACTGCCCAAAATGCCATACTGATGTGGGACATTAAAGGATCTTTCAACTTGCTCCACGGTTTCACTTATGGAGAGTAGGACATTAATAGAATAAGGGCTAATAATGGTACAGTTACTACCCTGCTATTATTTTCTCATGGGAACAAGAGGCTTGAGCAGAATGGCGTAACATAATTAGGAAGAGAGGTGGAAATGATGTTGGAAGGAAAACTTCTTCAGACCCAAAGAGCAATAGTATCTGGGCGACTTCTAAGCACTCACTTTCACAAAACGACCAGCTTTCACAGCAACACAGTGTGAAAACAAAAACAGTAGAGATCGTGAATTATATTTATCATAAACTTGGCTGGAATAATCAGTAACTCCTCAGGGAGGAAGTCTCACACACAAGATGGATACAGCACACTGAAGCAACATGATATGCATTACTGGAAAAAAAATCTGGAGCACAAAGAAACAATAAATACCCCCTAGAAAGACAAAATACAGAAAAACACCCTTACAGACCAGTATTTTCAGAGAATTTATTTATAGAATTTTTATTTCAATTTGGCACACAGTTGGAAAATGCTAATACAATTTGGTGGGACAACAGTAAAAATGCTGGAGTGCTGCTAATCCCTTGGAGAGAAAAAATGAAATGTGAATTGCAAATAAGGAACAATGAGGGTAGAAAACAACGTTACCTGAAAGTGGGCTCTATCAGCTGTAGACCATAAAAAAACCTGAAAGACTTTGAACCTCAGACACTGGGATGACATTTCCAAATGCAGACTGAAGATGTTAAGAGGCAACTTTAACACAGCCCAGGTTGTTTGCTCTATTGACAGAAGCTGAGCTTTTCAGAATTGAGCTTAATTTACTGTTCCTGTTTTATCTGGCTTGGTGCTGCTCACATTGAGTTCAGTGGGAATACTGCTATTGAGTTCAGCAAAATTAAGCCTTTCACAGAGGGCCAATGCAGCCTCTTTCATAAGCTCTGCACCCAGGGAGGCCACCAATGCCAAATACTTAGAACATTATACTGAAAAACCATTTTCTCCTTCTTTCTGGGTGTTTAACTTCTTCTTAGTCCACCTGCATCTTTTCTGTATGTTCATTACCCCTAATTGCATCTTCTCTCCACTTTTCCATTATTTCACTGGCAACTATTCCACTTCTGGTAGAATCAGTCACTACCTTGGGCCTTAGTCCCAAACATTACCAGCTTCAGGATAAATTGGAGAGTTGACTGCTGGGGTCCTCTCACTCTGGGACTGTCTTCACCTCCGATATCTCATTTTTCTTGGCCACATCAACTAAGAAAGGATCAAGGATCAGAAGAGAACAGAGAGGAAGAGCAAAGAGGGAAAAGTGGCCACTAATTACTGGATCCAGAGAGAGCCTCAGAAGAAAACTGGACGAGCGCTTCTCACAGAAGAGCTGAAAGCTGCTGTGGCTGAAAGCCATAACATGTAAGGCTTCAACAGCTTCTCAATATTTATCACAGGTGCATGACCTGCTCGTGGAGTGGGAAGACACTTGCAGTAAGTACTAGGACATCATTGCAAAAGCTGCCATAAAAAAGTTGTGGTTCACAAGTCAAGCAATTGACTTGTTACCTCAATTACCCTCAATCCTCAGTTACCGCATTCTTGTCTCAGTGAGTTACATTACAGTGAAGCAGATACAGTGCAGTTTTATCATTGAGCATAACAAGTTAAAAGACAAGACTATCAGTGATATGTTGGCAAAGTCAAATCTGTAATTGTTTGCGTGAAAGGGCCTAAACCACTAAATCACTGAAGAAGGGCTCAGCATGAGTGCCCTGACTGAAAACCATCCATTCAGGCTTGCCTTGGTTAGAGGCAGTCCTTCTTACCTTCCTCCTGCTTGGGCTTAAAATCCCACAGGCATTTATTTGTGGCCCACTGAATCTTATCTGTATCATTATCTAACCCCTGAAAGACAAGAGATATGAAATAATCAATGCAATTTAAAATAAAGAAACAAAAATAATTGTCCTCTGTTGCAACTTCTTCAGCACAGCCACCTGCTTCTTTCCACTGCTCTAGTTTACTTCAGAAAACAGATCTACCAAGGGGTTGGGCATAACTGGGGAGACAGTAGCCCAGAAAAGCAGTTTTCTCTGAGAGAAACTGCTACTGGAATGACATCTAGGAGACAATGGACCAGCCATTCCCTGCTGGCACAACACAGCAGAGGCCCAGAATGTTCAGGCAATACCCACATGGTTTGTTGAGGTTCCTCTTGAATGCCACCTCCATGGTCCAAGCAATTAGGACACCCNTCTCACTGCACAATTCTTGGGAGATGTGGTCTTCTTGTTTTAGACATTAAATCAAGATTTTACAATACTGCATTACTGTTGTACAACCCAAACAGATAATAGGATGCTGCAAAGACATTGGAATACACTTATTTATAAACAAAAAGGCAGAGATGAACCCCAGTACTGACTCCCTCCTCATCTCTGATATCTAGCCATTGGCCATTAAAAAAAAAAAAATCAAAACTTTTCTCACACCTGAAGCCAATTAGAAAATCTGTCCCCTGCAACAACCATGAAGTAAATGTATGGAACAATATCACTAGATAACTTTGCAGCTTTGCCTATATGATTAACTCACTATCCAAGTATGACATATCTGCTAAGTATTTTCATTAAGTGCTCTGTAGATCAGAACAGACAGCTCTTAAACCCATCTGTAAAAGTCTGGCAAACAGGTTAATCTCAAAACCAGTTAAATCCAATATTCAACCCATTTATTTCTGTGTCCATTTATTTAGGAAACATTCATTCAAGGAATGAAAGCTAGAACACTTGGTACAGTACCAGGTATTATCTATGCTATCATACACTCTTTTTTTAGAAGAATGAAAAAGGAAAATACATACAGCTTTAGAATAATTTCACTTGCAACCACCTTAATCATAATAGCCACCCAAAATATCCACCATTGGAAAACCAATGCTAAAATAATATACTCTCTTACTTCACTTATTTGGATCTAGAATGCTATGATTTTTTTTAATTAAGATTTTTAAAAAATATATATTTTTGTAGGACCCATCTCCAACATGCAATTGTTTTAAGTAACATCCCTAAAAATGTGTGCAACAGCCTCATGTGGAAAAGGCTAAAATGTAAAAAACACTGGTCTTTAGCCCAGCAGTGAGATGTGGGTATAGTATGATTCCTACCCTCTGGGCATAAAGTTAAGTCACATCCACACTGATGAGACCAAGCCAGAACTTAAGCAGAAGTTTCAGAATGGAGTGTAAACACAGTCAAAGAAATGACACACTGAGTGTTAACACTATACAAAGAAAGTGCACTGGGATGTGTGCACTAAGCAAGCACTTGTAAATACTTGCTGGTCTGCATAAGAGTTACATTTATTGCAAAATGACCTCTGACACTGGTATTCACCAGCTGCTCCCCTATTCTCACACCAAAGCAGCTACTCTTTAAATTACACTGGGAGACCACAAGCACCACTTAGCGCTCAACTGTGGGAAAGCTCCATGAGCTCAGGATTACTCCAAGTAATTAACTGGGCACCACACTCTCACCTCTTCCTCAGTTTCACCGGGGTGAGATTAGGCCAGTAAAGGTCCCCTGTGAAAGGTACTGAACACTGGGATCCATTGCAACAAAGTAATTTAGGACATTAATGTGTCTAAACAAGTACAAGTCTTCCTAATGGAAGGCTAGGCATTTTAGCCAGCATATGGGAGGAAGGAAAGGAGGGCTTCTCCTAAGGTACTTTGTTTTCCTAAGAAAAAATAACTTAGGCAAATACTTTTGTTCACTGGTCTGTCGTCAAGTAAGATACAAGTAAGCCCTTAAACATTATGTAAAATTTTTAATTTCCCATGCAGGAAGTCTGATCACAGCTTATACAAGGAAGTGATAGAAGCATTCCTCAAAATAAAAGCAGTCCCATTTTCATGATGTTTACATAGGATTTCAAGCTGATTCTAAAACCCCAACTTGCCACAGATTTTATCTTAATAGCCTACTTAAATATTGTGCATTTGATCTCTGTGACACAATCAGGCTTGTATACTAGGCTAACTATGGCTATTTCTCATATTTAAATTTTAATCCATGTTCTTTAACAAATAAACATACAAACAGCTTTTTTTAAAATTAAATTAGGCTTTAAGACATTTAAATCAGCCTTAAAAAGTTGCACTCTTCTTATAAAATGTTAAAATCTTGATAATTTTTTTTTTTATTCTTCACTGAAGTTTGGATGCTCAACAACTTTTTGAAATAGATCAGATCCTTTTTAAAAAGGGCATGATCACTTATATGTCACAGCGTATAGCAGCTTCTTAAATTTAAGAACTGAAAGTAAAATTGCTTTGTGTATTATCTACATGTGTAAAAGTTATTTTCAAAGAGCAGCATTAGTGTCTGTGTTGGAAAAGAAATTCTCCAAAAACTATCTATACCAAAAGGCTTGTAAGACTAAGCTTCAGTCTCCTTTGCCAGTAAATTTAAGAAATAAAAGTCTGTATCTGTAGTTATGCAAGATCTGGGAGGTCTTTTGGATATGTGAACTTCAGTTAGAAGTTGAAAGCAGTTTCTAAACCTTCTCCACTACTGACCTAAGGAGAAAAACCTCTTTTTAATCAGAAGAGCAGTTCTCATTAACAATATGAAAGAAGTTAAAATTAAAGAATTAACGGTTTGGATCAAGTAGCCTAAGCCTAGACTGAACAAACTTTGAACAGAAACCATCTATATTAACTAAGAATTTTAGCATTCTTGAGGAGATGGGCAGCTTATTTTCCAATAATTCAAATAACACATACATTTTAACCTTCTGAAGTCTTTCAGGGGGATGAAGAGAACGACAATGCAGACATGTCTGGAGATAGAAATCCACATATTTTAGAGGCACAACAAATTGTCATTTGATATCAAAGGACCCACGTTCTGTTCTGTATGTAGTGGATTGCAAAGAACATTTTTCAGTAGGGAGTTGCAGACCTTGCTGTACTTCAAGTGCCACATGTTCTTCAAACTTGATTAAACAGATTCAGGTTCTAATGGTCTCTCCTCTCTCTGTGAATAACCACAAACCAAATAAGCACAAGCTGTTTGGAATGGCTGAAGAGCTTTCTGCAGAAGAGTGTGCTGGAAGCTAAAAAGACAAAGCTATTCCTGGAGTTGTAGAAAAAGTGCTGGTTTATACCTTGTGCTGGAAATGGAAATAACCAGTCAACTTCCTATTTCTGTTAACTCATTCCCTATGACTCTGTCCAATGGAAAGAAAACCCAAGCAAATAAAGTAACAGGTAGTGAAGGAAGAGGCTGCTTCTATAGGCACAAACACCACATGATGAACAAGCCCTACATTAGAGAAAAATTTAGCATGCATCTTCAACACTGTTTGCAGAAATCAAGGACAAGAAGTAACTGCTAAAAACTATACAAGGAAACACTGCTTTCTTTTAAAAAGGTGTAAGGAAATAATTACACTGATTAATAAAACACTGATATTCACAACCCACCTGAACTAAAACTGGTTTACATCTTCAGGAAAGAAGTCAAAATAGTACAGAACATTTCTTTTTTTCTCTTAAAAAGCAGAGAGTGCCACACTGTGAAGGATAAACTGTTGCTGCATATAGATTTGAATCAACCTTTTGTGCTTTCTGTTCAGGGGATACAAAATACGAAGTCATGATTCCTGATAAACCATTTACAGTCATCAGATGCCTATACAAATCAAACTTTTCTTCCTACCTAATTTATTATGGAATCACTAAAACTACAGTATGATGTAAAAGGTTTCAAGAAATTCCTGTGAGAAATACTTAGGTTATTTCACAAAAAAAAAGTTGGATTTTTCTTTAGTTCACCTATGCTCACCAATATATATGTGGTAAATGCACCTTGAGTATAAGAACTGCATGAAAACAGTCTGAAAAAAATAAAACATGGAAACTGATGTGTGAGACCATCGGTCCCTTTCCTACTTCCAAATATTATTATTATTTTATTCTTTAATACCACCACTGACAAAACCCAATGCAAGATATAGTCCCCAAACCCACACCAAACTGCTTTGCTTTGCTGTGCATCTTTTCCAGCAGGTTTTCACACCTGCTTCTTCAGACAGAGCATCTGGAGGCTACAAAAGCACAACTTGTACTTCTCCATCAGTCATGCTTATTTGTGTGATGTTTTTTCCAGATCTGGAAGTTTTTCTATTAGTGCTTTATGGTTCATGTTGATACTGGCTATAAGTCCTCCTTCATTCCCATCTGAGCCAGTGTAACTAATTTCTTCACCAGTCAGGGTAGTCATATGGCCACCCAATGCTCTCAACACTGCATTTCCAGCACATATGTCCCACTTCTTAATGTAGGTGACATGGATATACACATCAGCTTCTTCTTGATTCTTTTCGGGCACGTCAAGGAGGGCCAACACTTTATAACCTAGAAGAAATGAGCAGAGGTAAAAAAAAAATTAAACCAAGCCTTCCTGTCAAAATACATTAAAAGAACAAGACCAGAAACTCAAATATGGTTCTGCTCTTATGTTTACTCATTCATTTCTCAATCCCTGTGTATCATGCTCAAGTCTGTCTTTCTCTCCCTGGCTTTTTATTTCAATAGAAGGAAGATGTATACACCACTCTTTAATAAAGCAAATCATCCCAGGGGATTCCCCTTTATTATTCATTATATAGTATAAAGTAATTACTCAAAACAGTATTCATTCTTTTATGGATTTTTTTCAATTTTTCAGCTCTTCCACCAATATTCTTGTTTCATTAATCTGATCATTTCTTCGTGTTCTTGAATAGAGTCAAGCCCTGAGCAAGACCTGCTATAATCAGTTACACTTCCACTATCTCTGTCACTTAGGGTCATTATAAAGAAGCAATGCAAGACCTTCTTGACTAAACAATCTGTAAAGGAGCTCTGGCTTTTCACATTAAAGACACAAAAAGATACATTTCTGTAAAAATAAAATTTTGCATGGTTTTCTGAGACTGCTCTTGTTCACACTACTGCTTCCCATTTATGTTCTGTCAGTAACACGTACATCACTTAAGTAGAAATTATTCTAAAACTTCTTTAAATTGAGTATGAGGCAGATAAAAATGGACTTTAGTAGTACTAATTTTCTCTTTTGACATAAATGCAATAAACAGTATCAAACTTTAATGGCCTTTTCCTTAATTTTTTTAAATCAACCATACTAACAGCTAACTAACAACCAGCAGATTGTCTTCCATGAATGTGCCTGTGGTCACACAACCCTTTTTCTCCTACTGAGGCATCAGTACCTTCCATGAACACACATCAGCGTGTTTCAGTGAAAAGACCACAAAATTGCTGGCCCAGGTTCAGACTCAGCAATATACTGACTTGTGAAAAGCCTGAATTCTGAACTAAGTTTGCATGTAGGTTCCTAAATACAGGAAAAACTTTGTCCCTATTGTCAAGTGTTTGCTTTCAGTGATGCGAAGATCAAAAGGCAAGTGGAAAAAGAGAAAATACCACAGTACATCCTTCTGTCTAGTAACAGCTACACCATCAAAACATTCAGAAGCAATAAAATGGATAGAATGCTTAAAGAAGCAAACCTGCTCCACCAGCGGGGATTATCACAGTTTTATTTCCAAATGTCTGCCGTGCAACCTGCTCAACTTTTCCTGCATGGGAACGGGACACAATAATCCTTGGAGTCTTCTCATTGTAGGAGGAACGAGCTTTTACATTTGACCCACCATCCACCATTGCCCAAGCTACAAGAGAAACAAAAATTCTGCTAAGATTTACAAAAGACAATCTCTGTTAAGTGTGAGGATAAAAGGGTGATTATGTAATTACCATCAATTACCATATGTAATTGATACCTCTGACTTAATATGTCTCACTACTGTAAAAGAGAAAGGTAGGGCTGACAGAGGATGGGGTGCATATCCACATGTGCACACAAGGGAAGAGAAAGAGGCCACATACACATTGGTGCATATGGCGTTGTACCAAGCCTGCCTGTTCTTGTGTGATTCTTCCAAAAAACAGAGTAAGAGGAAAAATCCCAAGTAGTTAATATTTAGAATTTGCAATTAGAAATCCACCAAAGTTAAAAGGATGGTTCCTAGTCAGAAATACATCCAATATGTCCTCAGACAATGTTTTTATGTAAAAACAAAAAGCCCTACTACCCTTTAAAGCAGATACCAAATATGCTATGGAGTTACTCTATTCAGAAAAATAGTAATCTAAAGAAGGAAATAGCTCAGGAGGAGAGTGCTACAAAGAAAAATATTTGATATTACGTTTCAGAGAACTGAATTTAGAATCCACAGCTTCCCCCTTGTTTCATCATGAAGTTCAAAGCCAAGCTTGGTAGGTGGCATCCTCTAACCATTAATCTGACATTTACTTAGTAAACTACCCAGCAATTTCATCTCAGTAGAGGGCCAGATTGTTTGGCAACAGACTGAGCTCTGTGTAGTAACAATGCCGACTGCCCTTTATTGTTTTGAATTTGTGTGGTAGTATTAGGAACAACCTGACTCATAACATACCAGTATTTCCAGCTTAGAAAATGAATACTTGTCACACAGAATGACAGAATTCATTGCATCTCATCTGATTCCATGTCTGAACATTGCACCTTCACTACTATCAAAGGAGATAAATTCTCAACATTACAATGCTAAAAACCCATTTCTTCAGATAGGTATTGACATCTAATATGTTCCAAAATCTCCAAGATTCTTGAAGCTCATTGGAATATAGCACTTAAGTGACTGGTAATTAAATTCATATTTATAGACAGCAAAGTATTTGGCACAAAATGTTGAGTATTCAGTGGGCCAAAAAAGGACAACAAATACAAAATGCATTTATTCACTTTGTTTTTTGTGCCAGATCTACTGTAAAATTTCAGGACTCTAGAGGTCAGTATTGCCTAAGGGAAAATGTAAACAGAAATTCCTGTTTAAATACACAGTAAGACATGAATACTTAAACTACTCTGAAGCTTTCAGAAGTGCATGCAAATTGCCAAACTTGAAGCAACATTCCCTGATACATCATTAATACTAAAGAATTAATTACTTGACAGCTGTGGCATTAAAAGCATATCAGATAATCAATAAGGCTATGCTAGACAGTCTTGCCTGTTACATACCAACAGTTGCCATTAAGATCTTTTTTCAATCTATTTTTATTCACACTGAATAAACAGCAGCTCCTTGGGTATATTATCAGAGACCCAAGTTATTCTGCTAAATGAGCAGAGTACTCTTTTTTGCTAAAGACTAAAAGCACACATGACACTGGTCAGTATTTATAGGTTTAACTTTTTTGTTTGCTATAAACACTGTAATCAAAGGGATCTTAGCTCTTAAAAATATTTTCAGTTAGTTAGTTCTAAATGCATCATTTTTATTTTAAACAAGGATGGCATTTTCCTTTGTGGTTTTACAGAGAACACATCTACAGCTCTAATTGTATGGTTTGCTGCAGTGCCCTTTCGCTGCTGCAGAAGGTATATTTTCTCACTTATACCTACAGATGTTCTCTCAAACATCTAATTTTAATAAATACTATCACTGATTGTGATGGAAATAGGTGAAGGCATGAAGGTACCTGTGTATGATGAGAAGGGCTTGTGTATCACACCTATTACTGGTTTGCCATTTACAGCCACACAAACCATAGTCGTGACATACTGCCGAAGATCCTCTGTGGGCAAAACAAGAAAGTGAGCAAGTTTACAATCAGATGCCAAGAACACAAAAGGAAAACAGACAGGAGATTGTTCAGATTATTCTCTGAAGACTAGTTTACATTCTGCCTCTTGCTGTTATGTAACTTTGAAGTATCTTCAAATAACCTTTCAGTTTTCAAAAGACTTTGAAGACTTTTCAGCTTTCCAGCAATTTTTGCTGTTCAGTAGATGGAACCTGTACTCCTACCAGATCTAATGCTAACAGCTGTGTCTTATGCAACAGGTATATTCTGGAAATCTGTGCCCCTCTATTCTCCCTTCTCTGCCTCACCTCCTATCCTCTACTGGTTCAAAAACGGTAATTCAAAAATCAAAGAACACCCACTGGAAAGGATAATTGTACCAATTACATAGTCATAAAAAAAAGAATCCCATTTTTCTAGTTGTTCCTTAGTACTTATTAGCAAGAATTTTAGTTAGATTGCCTTGAACTGCTTATGAACATCCTAAAATCTTTCAAAAGGGGGAAGACTTAACTATGCATGCTTTTATAAAAAATGACAAAAAATTTCTTATATCAAGTTAAATAGGCTATTTACTTAGTATTCCCTTTAAATAAACAAAACCAAAAATCTATGATACTTAGAGTTGCCACAGTAATGACTGAAATAAAGAGATGTGTAATTCCAGTATAATCCATAATTGACAGTTACCATTTATTATAGCAAGTACTTAGTTGAAAGGATACCAAAGTAATTTCGGAGTTGGAACATATAAAAGTAAATGTGGTAATTTGAGAACTACAGAGATTTCATTATACAATTTGTTCAATTAAATCATGTTAGCTTTCACATAAGACACTTTAACAAGAAATGTCCTTTTAAATACTATCTTGTCTCCAGTGTAAAAGGCAAAAATCAAAATTACACGCATGATTTGTCAACAAGAATCAGCTACCTGTATATTCTTGTGTAGCATCTAAAGGATCAATCCAGACAGTGACACTTTCTGCTGGCACCTCTTTAGGCTGTATTTTTTGCTTTATGTCTTCAGGAATACTGTGATCCCAGGAGACTGTCTCCTGATCAGCTGTATCAACACGCTCCTCAGAATTTATCTGTGGTGAGACAACAAAAGTAGTTGCATTAACATATTGGATAGAATAACTGCAGCTGGGAAAATTACACGTTTGCTCACATTTTCTCTTTCTTCCTTCACCTCAAATGCAGAAGTCATTTTTTCAGCAACTCACAGGCTATTATGGTTATGTGACAAGCAATGTAAAACCACAATTCAGAATTTTACTGTGAACCACACCACAGCTGGACATTGTTGCTTTGGCTGCAGCTCTCCCTACTGAACATTCCCACAGTATGAATCACATTTTTAAAAATCAATATTTAAATGCAGCTGCTTCAAGTACTACAGGCAGAACATTTGACTCTGGAGAATCATACAGTACACAGACAGCAGGGGGTTTAAAATTAAATTTATAAGGCCAGTAGAAGCACATGGAAATTTAGAGATATATTATCACCAGATATTGTGCAGACTGTGCATGAATTGGACATGAAGAAATCTTAGTATATATATTCCTGCTGCAGGCATTCAGTTACAACTAGAAATGTAAGCAGCTCAATTGAATTTAACCACTACATAACTGTCAGACGAATTTATTTCACAAATAGGTAAGTAACATCCCATATCCATTTTTATGGTAGGTTGGGGTAAGGTCCTAAGATGGACAGCAGTCAAAAGTCACATTTAAGCCTATTGTCACCTGCTGCCCAGCTTAATGAATTTACTCCACACCAGAGGGCATTTCACTACATCAAGCAGAGTTTGGCCTGGTAGCAGAGCACCAATCTGTTGAATGGAGTAACATTCTTCAAAATCCAGCACAATATCCTTGTGACTGTAGTAGCACAATATTTTTGGATGACCAGAGACGCAGTTGTACCAAAAGCTGTAGGCAAGTGACATGGAAAGACAATGAAAATGAAGGAGCTATCAGACTACATTTGAATGTGACAGACATGAGCAGGATTTTTACCTAATTCACATCATAACAAGAAAAAGCACCACACATTCCTCAGCTGTAACGGGGTATTAGCTAAGAATTAAGGGCCATTTTCTCCAAGAGAATTTGAAAAGAAAAAGGAAGCAGAACTGCAGCAACTGCAGCCATACATCACAGTTGTCTTCTCACGTAAAACCAGTATTTGAAGCATTATATGCCAAACATGGAGCTCTTGAAGTTGCCGTGACATTTACAAATTAAACATCTGTCACTATACAATAAACCTGATGATTGCATTTTCCCCTAGGGAAAACAGTCCTGCAAAGTCAAGATGAGCAGTTCCACTGATTTGGCAGTCTCAACATAGCCCCTGGGCAGTCTAAGTTCTACTACAGCACATGACATACCATCATAAAAAAACATTTCCTCAACAGAAGAAAGGGGCCTCCAAAAAGCTAAAGGGTTGGAACTGGTGCTCAAAAGGAAGAATATCTTGTTAAACCTGTTGTTATAGTACACTAGAATGTAAAGTCTGAAACTATCTGAAAGGCACTGTTTTCAGAGAAACACCACACACTAGCTCAGATTCTGTAGCAGTGGCTGTGACACTGCAGCATTTATAATGCTTGTGAGGAGTCTCTCCCAAAAGATATGATTATTCCACTAGAAAAAAAACAAAAACGGGGAGAGAGTGATCCGGTTGCATAGACATCTGGAGAAAGTAAAAAAGCCCAAAACCAAAACCCCAAATGGGTCACTCATTCTTCCATTCATATGACCATTTACTCTGTAGCTTTGGCTGAATACTTGCCTGAGCAGGATTCACCAACCCTTAAAACTTCTTTTACTCCTCCCGTTTTCTTTTTTTGTTAATGAAGGAGAATATTCCTGGCAAACATGCCTCTGTGTTAATTCCATGTTCCTATTTGTCAATCTCATTTGCTGGCAGCCTCCAGAGGCCACGACCTTACACTTTAAACTCTTCTTAAGCAATATGGATATGTAGTTCACTGCAATCCCAAATCCTCACTCATAAATTAGGAGTAGCTATCGTAGAAAGACAATCACAAGGCCAAATATTTCAGGCACTAGACCTTATTTCAGCAAGACACTCTGGGGTTAATTGTCTAACAGCTGTAAGGTGTATGAGCCCATCTGGGGAAGTTCTAAAAACTGAACACTGACATGAAGGTTAACTACATTTTAGCAATCTTCCCCAGTTATGCTTGAAGCAAAAGCCCTCCTTACAGAGCTGCATCAAACACTGAGGTTTAATAAAATATATGTAAATCAGTGCATGGAA